TAAATGGATAGAGATAAAAAATCTGGAATTTGAAATTAAGATCACTGCTGGTGTCTGTGTTTAAGATTTGGCGATGGTTTGGAAATGGGTATAATATGTGTACGAAACGTATTAAACGGCACTAAATTAAGTATTGGTTGGAGGTGGGTTTGGAAATGTACACTATAGTTGTACCAAAAATACTTAATGGAACTAAATTTGGTATTGGGTGAAGGGAGAGGCCCGGAATCGCCAAGTTTGATATTAAGGTGTCTGGAATTGAGATATGGAAGTGGTTTTGAATATACGTACTATAATTGTACGAAAAGTACTAAATACGCCAAAATGTGGCAGTGGGTGAAGGTATAAAGGCGGAATCGCGAAATTTGATATTAAAGTCTTCGTTGTTATCTGAGATTGAGATATGGGAGTGGTTTTGGAGAAGTGTACTACAAGTGCACGAAAAGTACTAAATGGTACCAAATTTGACACCAGTTGGTGTTTAGGATAGAAAGATGTAGATTGTTTTCGGTAGACGTACTTAATGTGGCTAAATTTAGTTTTGGGTGAAGGAATGGAGCTGAAATTTTGAAATTTGATATTGAGATCAATGTTGTTCAATGTCTAATGATTTTTTTTATATCATTCTGGGGAAAATTTTAAATTAAAAATTTTGAAGACTTCTTGTTCTGAAATGTAAACGTTTTCCTATTATTCTTTTCAAAAAAAGAAAAACTTGAATAATATTTAAAGCCTTGTCATAGGTCATAGTACCCATTACGATCTTTAAAAACAAAATAGCACAATTCCGGTAAAAAAATATCTCTAATATCGTCAAAATAACGAATAAAGTGTTGGGCCGTTATATGTGGGCTATATGAAGAAGTGGGCCTACATAGACAATTTTCCGTCATTACGAAATTTGAAACAATTCCGGTGAATAGTGTTTTTAAAATCATAAAAATACCGAATATGAGGAGGTATCGTTATAGGGGGCTATATGAAGACGTCGTTCTGAATAATTAATTTTTTGTCAAGGCTGTAGGGTAAAGTTCTCAGAAGAACTCTTGTGTGGATTTTCAGACGATTCCATTGAAAAGTGTGGCTAAATAATCAAAAGTCCGAATATCGGGGGGTACCGTTATATGGAGGCTATACGATATCGTGGACCAATATAGCCTATCTTCGAACTTGACTTGCCTGCAGACAAAAGACTGATCTGTTCAAAATTTTAGCTTTCTATCTTAACTCGTTTTGACTCAAGCGCGATTACAACAGACGGACCCAGGGACAGTGCTAAATCACCTTAGAATTTTACGCTGATCAAAAATATATATACTTTATTATATACTGAATCACAAACGGAATGACGAACTTAATATACTCTCCATACTATGTATGGCGGAGGGTATAAAGAGGCCCAACACGAACTGTTAGAACGAATCTTAAATTTTAAGGTGGACTTTTAAGAAGGTAAAATCTTTTCATATAACAATATCCATCTATGGATTTTCTCTAATTTACCTTGGCAAATTTCACTGCCCAGAAAGCAATGGATTTAGAAATACTCACTTTGACAAAGAGTAGTTGTCAAATAAACAATTTTTAAAAAAAAATTTGAACATATCATTGGACGACTTTACCTTCTTCATTCTGCCATGTCATTACTTACTACCTAGACCAAGATTGATAAAATTTCTTTCGACGTTCGAGTGCAAATGGCCTTCCTTCAATTTTGATGAATTTGATGAGTTACAATTTCCAAAGTTTGGAACAAATCCGATACTCCAGGCGAACTTTCCTAGATCCACTTTAAATTTACCGAAGCAGACCTCGTCCACAGGCCATAATTGTGAGGCCATAACAAATATTTTCTAAATATTTTGAAAATATCCCTTGACATTGCCGATTGTGGGCATTGGTATATCAATCGTTTTCGGATGACCCCAAATTCTACCTTTGTTCCTGGAAAACAAATATTCTCTCTTCATATCTTATTTGCCAGTAAATATGTGATAATGTCCCATTAAATGTATCTCTTTTTGGAATTACAAATTGAATATCTTTTTTTTTTTAATTCCTTGAAATCCCATTCTGTCACGATTCAACATTGAACTGAAACAAATTGTCAATTTATTGACAGGTCTCGTGGTGCAGTCAGGCCGCATGCAAATATGTAGTTTTGTAGCCTGTTATCAATATGAAATTTCCGGGAAATGGAAAAGTCGTCATCAGAACATCACTGATGAACTTCCCGGAAACGGTGAAATTCAGTCCTGGAGTTTATTCAATAAACATATCAAACAAAAGCAGAACAACAACAACATCAATTTTTTGTACTCCATTTTTGATGAGCGAGTTTATCTACAAATTCACCTGTAAACTACACCTTTCTTTCATTGCCGAAAGAAAGACGTTGGCCCACAATTCCCCGCGTCTGCTGTTGTGTGTCAAAGGAAACAAGCTCTGGCCAAACAAACCTGTTCAACAAAAATAAATGGGCCGACCTTGTGATGATGATGGATGAATGGAGGTATAGATGGTTGGTTAGCTGTTTGGTTGGAGGTATTAAAGCGACCGCATATTCTCCTTATCACAAGGCAAATACAAGTCGACAAAGAGAACCAACCTCAAAGGAGCGCGGGTGGTTTGTTGATTGTTGGTTGTCTAATACTGGGTCGGTTGATGGATTAAAACCTCAGCCTGAGGATCCTAAATAAATTCAAATTTCAAATCTTATCAGCCCAGCCATCAGATCATTATTTTATTGGTGATAACACTGGAGTTGAATGTTTTCTTAGAGCGCTTTGTGTTTACACTGGACTCGGCTAATGCTAATGATGATGGTCGTGGTGATGATGCTTAGGGCTCCAACAACGACAACGTATGTAAATTACAACAATTTCGAAAAAAGACATACAGATATGAATTTACATGCAAAAAATAAACAAATTCAACACATATTGTAATAACAAACATCCTTTCGGTTTTCCATTTGGAAGAAGAAAACGAAAAAAAAAACGATGATGGCAGAGAGCAAATACTACAAATTTTACATTTTTTAAATATTATTTTTTCCGGTCTCTCTCTCTCTCACCCTCTCTCTCATTTCCATCATCTTACAGTACATTATCCTTAAATAAATAAAAAAATACAAAAACATTACTCAACACGCTTGCTTGCAATATTGAATGAATGTTAACCAAAACAAAATACACTCACTTTCACCGACCGCATAAATCACATCCTTTCGTGAAATCCTTTCGTTTTGCCATGCACTCTTTTATTTCCTCTGTTTGCCTTCTTTACCTCAAGCTAATGTGTGTTTGTTTATTTATTCTTATTTGTTTGCCATGGCCATTAAATATTTAACTTTACTAATTACCAATTCATTGCAAACGTCCTGTGCCGGTGCTTTCGTTCGGGACAAACCACAGTCTCATTTTCAAATGGTGTTGGTCCTAACAACCGCCAGCTAATTAGTTGATGTTGTTGTTTCATGTGTTTTGCCGGCTATGCGCAAGCGCACATTTTCTCGCACTCTTTGATAAAGGATTCTGGCTCGCTGACCGCTGCACAACATCAAACCGAAATGTAAACATGGGAAAACACAAAAAAAGGATTTCTTTCCTGTGGTGGTCCGTCCTGTTTGTTTTCTGGTTAATATTTTGTTTTTCATTTGTTCATTTGTTTTGTTTTTTTATTTATTCAATGTTTTTGGAATTGTAACTGCCCGTCTTCCTCCTCTGTTGTGTTGTGTACATTTTGCCGATCGTCACACTTTGTTGTTTATGCGGGTTGGCATAAATATTTGATTCAATTGGAATCTCATTAGCCGGGAATAATAATTTACATATAATAATGTACATGTGAATATTAGGGGAATATTGTTTTAATTTTATTTGTGTTACGGCCGGTTTAATTGTTATGGTGGATATGAGCGTGGGATTTTGGTATGTTTTTGGTCATACATCCAAACATTTACATACATGTGTATGTAAGTGTTTGAAGTTGAATATTCAATACCAAAAGACTCAATTTCAACAATTAAATGACCTATTATCCAACATAGTCCGGACTGTTTCAAAATATTTAGAATTCAGGTGTTATATATTCATTTATACTTAGTGTTTAATTTATACTTTTTGTCGGAATCACAAAAGACATTTATGTTCACCTTTAAAACGTATTCAGCATCTCCAGGAGTGGTCTCGTCCTTGCAACGTGTGTCATACATGAGAGAGTATCAAATTGTTTATGACCATATGTTTTCATCTTACCCTACATTCTACAAGTCAAAATGTTAAGATATCAACATTTTCCATGTTAACGTGTGGGTATTAACAAAAAAGTTTATATAAAGCTGTGCACAAGTCAACCTTTGATTTGATCAGTTTTTCGGAACAAAATTTAACACTTACTTATAATTTTAATTAAGGCGTATCCCTAGAAATAAGTAGTTCTTCCTTGCCCTCCAAAAAAAAAAAAAAAAAAATAAATAAATAAATAAAATAAAAAACGTATAATCTATCAAAAATACTGTTAAAATCTTTAAAATACCAAACACAAGGAGTTAAAGCTATTTTGGGTTCTATACGAAGTAGACCTAAATAGCCCATTTTCAATGCCGAGAGTCCGGCATACCAAACACACATTTGAGTAAAATGATATCAACCTACTTCAATTCATTTGGAAGGTAAAATGATTTCCATAGACGGACGGTAATCGTTAAATCGGCATAGAATTTTATGCTGATTAAGATTATATATACTTGGTGGGGTCCTCATACGACGTGTTGCAAACGGAATAACAAACTTAACATATTCTCCAACCGCATATTTCCAATAAAACCAAAACCCATAATTTAAATCGTAATTTCATATTAATAGTTTCATATAAACTTCTTATTATGACTAAATATCTAATTTAAATAGAAGCGATTTATAAAAAAATCTTTCACTCTAAGGTAAAAATGCATTGCGGAGAATGTCTAACCTAAAAACGATAAAAGCAATATTAACTCACATTGTGCCAGGATATATATTTTTTAGAGATCACATTCTAGTGAAAACTAATTACTATGATATTTAAGCCTTCACTTTTTATATAAGTTTTAATTTTTCTTAATCGAGCGTGCAAATTGCAATCATTCTAATTTAAAATTGCAGAAAGCTGTGGCTACAAATCCCTGCATTTATGTGGACGCAAGTATTGTGGCTATATTTCCATAAAAATTCAAAATAAATTGGGTTGAATAGTCGACTTGGGCTGCACGGAGATGTCTCCAAACAAGGGGTATTTTCTTCTCATGATCGCATGTTGAAATAAGAATGACAGCGTTGGAGGGAAGATAATTCTCTTTTGAAATCATTAATTGACGTTTAAATTCAGTTTCAAGGTCAAGAAGTTAATTATCTATTATTGCATATTCGGGCATGTCTCTCTGACCGCTTGAACTACACTCGAATGGGGCATCCGTCTCTATCAAGCAACGAAATCTTTGTTGAATGTAAACGTTGTCCGATCAATACCATCCTACTCTGATCATACGCAAATATTTTACTATAACTTTTGATATAACCAATTTTCGTAAAAGTTAGATCCAATGATGCCTGCTGATATTAAACCGCAATAACACTTTGAGGACAGTATTCTACAAAGAAAAAAAGTAATTCATTAGCTTAAATCACATTTTTTAACACCAATAGACAACACAAATGAAGATGTAACAACTGAAACCAAATTTTTCTACAGAATTATGGAAAAAATGTTGATAGTGGATAGGAATGACAAAGGACCGAAAATACCAATGAAAATTAAGCTTCAATGGGTTTATTTTTACTGCCGTTAAAAGTGAAAATACGAAAAGTTTTCTGGGTGAAAAATTACGATAGTATCATTTATTATGACCAAAATTTTATGTAGTTTAATTTGTGTTTCGGCTGGGCCGACTATATGATACCCTACACCACATATTTAGTAGAGCTCCCGTAATAAAAGAATTTATTTCAAGTAGATCGTACCAACTATAGTGTATGATATCACTTGGAGAAGGATTATTTTAAAAAATATATATCGGAGACGAGTTGCACAAAATGGAAACGTACATTCCGAAATTCACTCCACTTGGGCTGACGTTATCCATTATTTGCACAATAAACCTGAAATCGGATTAAGGATATATATGGCGATATCCAAATCTTAGCCGCCCTTTATAAAATATGGCAAAGGTATTTCCGAGCTTTATAAGATATCTGATAGCAAGTATCATTGTTGTCGAAAGCATATTACGAATGTGAGGGACTTAAACACCGAATCGGATGAAACTTATAGATGGGAGCTATAGCTATATCTGAACCCATTTTTCTCCTAATTCGATGCACTTGCTTCTAGACTGAATTCGGTCAGTTGTACCAAAATTCAGGTCATTAGTACTTATATTGGCCATTTGGATCACAATTAACCCGAAATCGGTTGAGGATATATGGGAGTAATATCTAAATCTTATTCGAATATCACCAATTTCAATACGGTTCGTCCTTAGGCCAAACAAATATTGTTTGCAAAAATTTCATCTCAATCGGATAATAAATGCGACCTGCATTTTGTTCACAAGAATAAATGGACGGAAGGTGAAGTGATTCTATGAATATCCTCAAAAGTTACCATGAATCATGAATCATTTTGTTGACAAATACCTACAATTTTGGGCTACAGCAGCATTTTGACTTTTTGGGTCTCTATAAATAAAGACTCTCTTTGAAAAATTGATGGCCTAGTATTAAATGTAAATAAATTATTTTAGTCCAAGTTGAAGCTAAGTTTTATATTTTCGATTGTAAAGAGAAATAAATTTGAGAATTTTAAACTAAAAATTTTAAAATTTTCTTAGAAACAATATTTTATTTATGATTTGTGTTCTGCCTAATTTAAGATATGTGTCAACAATTTCAAATTACTCATAATCAATTATTGCATGGTTCAGTGGTTCGGCATGTAGAATATAATGCAAATTTACCTTACGGAATAAAACTTACTATTGCTTTAGGCTTCTACCATGATAAATTCAAGGCAAATTAAAAAAATAATAACAAGTTCAACTTTTTTTTTGGGTAGTCCTTTATCAAAATTTATAAGAATATATTTTTACAATGAGTTGTTTTCAAAAGTATAATTTTTGAAAAAATTGCATACGTATGACTACACGAGATTACTTTATTTCTATCATAGTTTCGACATTAGCCCCATTAGTGGGTACGGGGATTTCGATTGATATTTTGAGGGCCCTATCCGCATTTCCCCAAGATGTGGATGTAATATCATATTTTGAAACATTAATCTTTAGGAAACATCCTAACAAAAAATATTGAATACCCCACAAAATGCTAAACCCTTGTTGCGAGTTTTTCATATAATGTAGTATCCACATTTTCAAACTGAATAGGTTGAAGTTTTGTGGTTTTCGAAAAAGTTGGAAAGAGTAGAACAAATCTCTCTCGGAGTCTCCTGATCTCTCTCAGAGTCTAATGAAACTATGAATCTCGGAGAATATTATTCATAACTTTATTTCCAGATTTGATATTAAAAACTCTGCCCGTATAATATTTCTGGATTTGAAATCTCTTACTTCGTATTATGCCATTCCAATCTTTGCCATAGCTCCTATGCGATTTTTCACTTTTTTATTTTTGTTTCCATTGACAAAGCGTGGCGAAATTGTAGCATTATTTATACTTGATATATGACTCCTTTATTGCGTCTAAAAAATAAAACCACCAAAAATTTAAAACATTTCAACCAAAAAATTCTTTAAAATTGTCCCTTACTACAGAAAACTCTTTTCCATCAAACTCTTCTTTTAACCCCCAAACGCAAAAGAAAAGGGAAAGGAGGGCCAACAGCAACGGCTAACAACAGCAGTTGTCCATGCCACCAATGAACAACCGCCAAGCAAACAAAGGAATGTCATAATTTTTTAATTAGTTCTGGTAGAATAGTTTATTATTACTCGTTCTGTGTGTTTTTTGTTTGGTTTGTTTTCCGTTGGAAAACTATTCGTCGAACAACAACAAATTTTAAACCCTTACTCGTAATTGTTGGGTTAAAATGAAAAAAAAAAAAAACTGAAAATTTTACAAAATAAAAGTAAAAACATGGTATAACGGTGAAGGATAATGACTTGTGCCTGACACACTTTTCCTTTCGAAACCACCACAAAACAAGGCCAGCAGCAACAACAAATTTTTGAAGAAGAAAAAATTAAACAACTATGAAAGGTAAAGTAAAGGTATCTGTTTTGGTTTGGCTCATCATAATTTCTGACATAAAACTCAAACATATGGCACCACACCACGCTCCCTCACTCACTCAGTATCGTTGAGAGTCATCACCATCATCCTTGTCATAGATCTGATCGCTTTCAGTTTCGTTTTAATCATTTTAGCCCCTTCTGGCACTTTCAGCCAGCGAGCCAGCCAAACGCTCTAGGTACAACTTGTGCGATTAACACTTTATTTTTCTAACGAAGTAGGTTCTCGAATTAGGATGGCAATGATGATTGGTTTCTTTTTGAGAAGTTATGACTAACAGCTGATATGAAAGTCAGAAACGCCCTACTACGACTCCTTCACTCCGAAAGTGAAGGTGAACACATGTTTATCGCAGTTTTTGATTTCATCATTGAGACATTTTAAATTCCTTGGCATTATTTTCTTCCACCTCCCAAATAAAGTCATATTTTTATGTTAGTTTATGTGTTTTTCAATTAAAAGTCCCATTAAAATTTATTGTTCAATGGAATTACTTTATTTAGGAAATACAGAATTTTTATGCAATTATTTTGTTAATAGATGACATCAAACTATATTAGTTACAATACGATACACACAGTATAAATTACTACACATTTTTCAGATGTAATTCGAAATATGTTTATACCCTATGTCTTTGTGCGTTTGTTTGTAGCATGGGGAGGAAGCGAGATCGACCTATAATTACATTTGATAATCTTCATATAATCACTTTCTGAATCGTTTTATGCATGTCACTCCGACTGTCCGTCCGTCCGCCTGTATTCTTGTGAACAAAATGCAGGTCGCATTTATTATCCGATTGAGATGAAATTTTCCAAACAATATTTGTTTGGCCCAAGGACGAACCCTATTGAAATTGGTGAGAATTGGTTAAAATTTAAATGTAGCTCCCATATATATCTTCAACCGATTTCAGGTTAATTGTGCCCCAAATGAACTGTATTTTATTACATCCGACCGAATTTGGTCCAGAAGCAAGTACATCAGATTTGGTGAAAATCGGTTCAAATATAGCTATAGCTCCCATATATATGTTTTATCCGATTTGGTTCCTCACATTCGTAATGTGCAATGTCGACAACAATGTATTTGGTACCAGATATCTTATAGAGCTCGGGATTACCTTTGATAAATCTTATCGAGGTCGGCTAAAATTTGGATATAGCTCCCATATATATCCTTAATCCAATTTCAGGTATATTGTGCATATAATGGCTAACATCAGCCCAAATGAACTGAATTTCGAGACATACGTTTCCATTTGGTAAAACTCGGCTCAGATACATATTTTTATACACTCCACCATATGGAGGGTATATAAAGTTTGCCATTCCGTTTTTAACATCTCGAAATATACATTTTGGACCACACAGCTTCCGAACAAAATGAAGTAGGTTGATAAAATATTACCCAAATGTATATTATATCTGCAGGACTTTTGGTATTTACAATGGGCCATGTAGTTCCACGTTTTGGTGATTTTAGCGACATTCTTCTCCGAAATTGTTTTAAATTTGTTATTTGAAGTTCGTAATGGATATTACAAGCTATGACAGAAAATTGTCCGTGCAGGTCCACTCCTTCGTATAGCCACTATACGACGGCACCACCCAATATTCGGTATTTTGATGATTTTATCGACATTATTCACCGGAATTGTTTTATAGTTGGTATTTGAAGTTCGTAATGAATACTAAAGGATATGACAGACAATTGTCTATGCAGGTAAACGTCTTTGTATATAGTACCTCCCTATTTTCCCAATTTAGATGATTTTAGCTACATTATTCACCGATTTTTTTTTAAATTTCGCATTTGATTATTGCAATGGCTTATGGTAAAAGTTGCCTATGTAGTTCCACGTCGTCATATAAACCCTAATATAACGGCTACATTCGCTATTTTTAAGATTTTCACAGAATTTTTAACGGATTTTATTAATTTTTTTTGCCAAATTCGTTCCAAATGGTGAAGGTCCCGGCCGCACTTACAGCTTTTTTACTTGTTTTTAATATTCTTTCTCGAAGTGATATCATGCATATATATATATATATATATATATATATATATATATATTAAAAAAAATATAAATATAAATATAAAAAATTCTCCGTCAAATTTAGTAAAAATTGTTTCATATATCCCCTCTGCCTCACATATCCCCTCTGAAACCAAATTATAACTTCTCTAAAGCCAAATGTTGATATGTGGCATGATCTACTTCAAATAAATTCTTTTTTTACGGGAGCTCTTTAAAATATGCATAGTGGTGCAGGGTATCATATAGGTGGTCCTGCCCGAATTTTGACTTTTCCTTACTGGTTTAAGAATTATATTTATT